CCCAAGTAGTGGGCTACTAATAACTTCCACCATGGTTTTAAGTTGGATTCGAAGTTATTGGGCTAGTTCGTTGCTTTGGGCTTTGGGGTGTTACAGTCGTCGTATCGTCAGACGTTAATAGGGATTCTGGGAGACGATGAAGAGAAGACGCTAGGGCTGGGCTGGAACTTCTTGGAAGGAGACGATGAAGAGAAGACGYTGGGGCTGGGCTGGAGATGGATGCATTCTCTAATGACTATTGACTAATACAATTAACAGGCCAAAGCCCAAAGCCCAAAGCCCAAAGCCCACAATACATATATATAAAACGGGGCGGGAAGTGTTGTACCCGTCCCCGACCCCATCCCCGACTTGAGCCAAGCGGGGATCCCCGTCCCCGGGACCCGATTTTTCGGGGAATCCCCGTCCCCGACCGGGGCGGGTGGACCGGGTTACCCGACGGGTCGGGGTCCATTCCCATAGAGATCCTAAATAAATAGAAGTGCAAAGAGGTAAAACTCTGAATCAGTCAGACATAAGACTGACATGGTGTTGTTAAAAACTCTGAATCGGTCAGATATATATAGGAGTGTGGGTTGTTTGGCAATTGTTGAATGGTTTGGTGCAAAATGATTAAGTGGTGATAATGATTAAGTGGCTCTCATTATATAATGTAAAATGAAATATAATTGTTTGGTAATTATGTACAATGAAATTAAGGTTCTTAATGGTTAAGGGAGATCAAGAATACAAAATCATTCAGAGGGTTTTAGAACCATCAAGAGGCAGACTTTTATTGTCAAACAAGATTCATCTCTTAACGATTCAAGAGTTATTTCTTTACCTTTTAATAATTCAATTAAGAAGTAGCATTTGAATCGTTAAGAGGTAATCTTATTTAGCAAAAAAAAAATCTGTGTTCTAAAACCCTCTAAATAATTTAATTTTAAATAATTATCAAATAATTATATTTTCATTTTTCACTATATCATTCTGATCAGTTAATCATTCTGCATCAAACCATTCAATAAATGCCAAAATATTTATTTACTTTTTAATCATGCCATTAAAAGGTAAAGCTCTGAATAAGCGACCGTTTACTAAACATTTACTCGGTAAGTGTTGATCGAATAACTTTCCTCACCTGAAGTACATGGCAAGAGCCGAAAATCTTACCCGGTAAGAGAAATGACAAAGATAGAGAGTCTTACCTGGTAAGTGATGGTAAAGATTCTTATCCGAGTAAGTATTTACCGGGTAAATTATTGCATATCATATCATTTTAATATATTATAATCTTGTCTGATAAAATAAATTATAGTGTTGATTCCAACGCATCAATGCTTACTCGGTTAGTATTTGGTAAAGGACGTCCAAGTATTTTTAAAAGGTCAGAAGGATTTACAAGGGTCTGAATCGCTCACCACAGCTCCCCATCCCATTCAGACTCTTCAAACTCTCGACTCCTCCTCGATTCTCTCCTCAAACTCTCAAGTCCTCCATGTTGCCTCTTCTCTAGTTCTCTTCATTCCTCCTGGATTCTCTCCTTAAACTCTCGATTTTGGTAGCCCTTTCCTTCACAGACGCACCATCTATCTCACCGTTTCTTCACTGCACCAGACACGGGGACGGAGGCACCATTCTCGCTGTTTCTTCGCCAGACACGTCTGCACCCCCTGCCTTTGCCGATTCAAAGAGGTAAAACCTTTCCCCCCAAATTGGCATCTTTGATTTACGATTGTTCAAACTGCAACTTCTTTTCTTATGTTTGGAACTTCTCAAAATAAATGTGAACATCTGCCTCTTTCTTTCTTACGGTTGCAAGACATAAAATGTGTCAATAGGACCATAAAGAATGAAAAAATAAACTGAAAATTGAGGCCAAATTTGAGCATACATCTCCTGCAGCAGAGGGAAGATGTCATCCTAAATTAATAGGGCCATAAGAATGCAGCCTAATGCGTATATGGTATTTGGTGTTTTAGACAACTTGATTACTGGATCTTGGCTTCCAGAGCAATTAGTACATATATGGTGATAAGATCTCATTGCAAAATGACATCGATGGTGGCAGCTCAAGTGTTCTTACCGTAGTTCAAGTTACAAAATTAAGTAGATTTCTATATGTTATAAGCCATGTAGCCATCAACCAACTTGTATGCATGTAATGTTTGAATTCAGATTGATGAAACTTTCCCTTGAGGAAAAAAAATGCAAACTACATGCCATGTTTGAATTCAGATCTCACAATTCTGTTAATTTTCGTTAAACACAAGAGTGGGGTAAAATGGTATTTTATGTCATTCAGACTGTTGATTCAGAAAGGTTTCCAAACAATTATTTTCTATCTGACACTAAATCATATAGTCACTTAACCATTCTGCACTGAATCATCCGCTATCTGCCAAACAGCCAGTAAACGTAGTTTCTACGGGTGATTGCTCTCGTAATCGATTCAACTCAAACGATGAATGTGTGTGTTTTTGTGTCAGAGAGTGGATTATTATGATCTACTGCTAAATTTGTAAGTTGTTAGCAGAGACTACTGTTCAATTGCAATCTAGTTTTTTGGTATTACTGAGATCTTTATCGTGTCTTCTTTAGAGATTTTAGTTTTTTGGTTTTTTGCTTATCAGGTTTCATTTAAACAAGCTTTTCAGGCCGTCGGTAGGAAGATTTTGGGGCCGTTGCTGTTATGTTGAAAAAGATCGACTGCTACAAGAAACAGAGCTCCTTTTGGCTTCGATCAGCATATTTATACTCCAGCCTTTCAAAACCCACATGAAATTCTACATCTCTCCTTTCACTGCTTCCACGTTCAAGATCCATTTATACTCCACCCGTTCAAAACCCACCTGGAATTCATCACAAACCAATCTCTTCATCACAAACCCAACTCTGTTAGCTGTAGAATCATGCAATTCCATGGCTCATTTGAAGCAAATCCAATCCCAAATGACTAGAACCGGCATCATTTTTCATGTTTTTCCCATTAGCAGAATCTTAACTTTCTGTGCTTTATCAGACACCGGAGATCTAAACTATGCTCATCGCCTTTTTAACCACTTCCCTAACCCCAACGTTTATATGTGGAACATTATGATCAGAGGGTATCTAAAATTACAATTGCATGTAAAAGGTTTATCTTTGTTTCGTTTAATGGTACGTAAGTGTGTAGAAATGGATAGGAGGAGCTTTGTGTTTGGTTTGAAAGCGTGTGAGGGTTTACTGGCTGGGGAATCCGTGCATTCTTTGGTTTGGAAAGTAGGTTTTGAATGTGATTTGGTTGTGCAAAACGGGTTGGTCCACTTTTACGGTGAGAGAGGGCGGTTGGATTCTGCACGTAAGGTGTTCGATGAAAGTTGCGTGCGAGATGTTGTTTCTTGGACTAGTTTGATAAATGGGTATGTGAAGCAAGGCATGTCAGATGAAGCATTGAGAGTTTTTGAGTTAATGGAAGCAAGTGGGGTTCAACCTAATGAGATTACGATGATAACAGTGTTTTCTGCTTGTTCTCAGAAAGGGGACTTGGAATTGGGAAGATCTCTCCATGATTATGTCAAAAGAATGAATCTAAATTCGAGTCTCAATCTAATGAATTCAATACTGGATATGTATGTTAAATGTTGTTCTTTAGTTACAGCCCAAGAGATCTTTGAGAATATGAGAACTAGAGATGTTTTCTCGTGGACGAGTCTGATAAACGGGTATGCTAAGAACGGAGAGTTGGTTTTAGCAAAGAAACTGTTCGATGAAATGCCTGAGAGAAATATTGTATCTTGGAATGCTATGATTGCAGGCTATTCACAAAACAATAAGCCAAAAGAAGCTATAGAACTCTTTTATGCCATGGAAAACGCAAGTTTGATTCCTATAGAGACCACTCTAATATGCGTCCTCTCTGCTTGTGCTCAATCAGGTTGCTTAGATTTAGGTCAATGGATATACTTTCACTATATCAAACGAAACCAGATTCAACTCACCGTGACTCTAGGAAACGCGTTCATAGACATGTATGCCAAATGTGGTCACATTGATGCAGCCGCAGAGCTCTTTAATGGCATGCAAGAAAAAGATTTAGTTTCTTGGAACTCCATGATTGTTGGCTTTGCTTCCCATGGTCAAGCAATGAAATCCCTTAATCTTTTCGAACAAATAATTGAAATAGGGTACAAACCCGACAAAATCACATTCATCGGTGTGTTATCCGCTTGTAGCCACGGAGGCTTACTCACCCAAGGAAGAACCTACTTCAAAGAAATGGAGAACATTTATGGATTAAAACCAACAGTTGAACATTATGCATGCATGATTGATTTACTTGGACGAAATGGGCTTTTGGATGAAGCTTACGGATCGATAGTCGAAATGCCAATGGAAGCTGATAAAGCTGTTTGGGGAGCGGTTCTTAGTGCGTGTAGGATGCACGGAAATGTCGAATTAGGTAAACTTGCTACTGAAAAACTCTTGATTTTGGATCCAAATGATAGTGGTATTTATGTGCTTATGGAAAGTTTATGTGCCATGAGACAAAAATGGGATGAAGTAAAGATGGTTAGAAGTATGATGAGAGGGAAAGGTGTTAAGAAAACACCTGGGTGTAGTTGTATAAAAGTGGAGGGTGAGTTTCATGAGTTCTTGGTTGCCGATAACTCGCACCCTGAATCGGAAACCATATATAAAGTGTTGGGTGAACTGATTTCGTTGTCGAGGGTGGAAGATACATCGGGTGTTAACTGCATTGTCGAGAATGAGGTACATATATTGTGAGAATATGTGAAACTCTTAGATTTATATGTAAAATAGCATAAATGAGGTTCCAACATATATTGAAGAGAAATGATCCAAATGTAGTCTATGTTGAACTCGAACACTCAAATCTTGTGGGTTAGCTCAACTGGCAATAAGGCTTGGACTTTTAGGGATTCTTCTCAGTCACCATCAGTTCGAATCCTGCAAGGTGACTGAGATTTTTCTGGCTGGTTTAAGGGACCTTGGGGGTTAGTTGAGGTGCGTGCAAGCTGACCTGGACATCCAAAGTTAACAAAAAAAAAAAAAAAAAAAGTACTCAACAGATTTAGTTGTTGTTTCATGTGCGTAGAGGCCAAACCATACATATGTCGTTTTGCTAACTAGTGTGTGTATAGAGGACAAGTCAAATACAAAGGCAATAAATGTCACAACGGTTTTCATGATATCGAAGGATTTTGATGTATCTCGAAGGATTTCGATGTATCTCGAAGGATTTCGATGAGGCTCATGTGCATCTTGAGCGGGTTTTGTGTTTTCAGAGCGTTTATCAAATGCTTATCGTCAAGAGTCACCATTCTTACTTACCTTATAAGACAACATTCTTTGCCATCAAAATAGATTAATGGTAAGTGTTTATAACCTTGTATGTGTTTACCAGATAAGAATAATCACCCTCATTTACCGAGTAAGACTCTCAATCTTTGTCTTTCCTCTTACCAAGTAAGATTTCCGGTCCTTGTTATGTTCAAAAGATGCTCGTTTATTTGCTAAAGCCTACGTTCAATCCAACTGGATGTATCATGAATTGTTTGTATTGTCTCTTTGTCGGTTGATCTTTTTTCGTAATTTTGTATCTTCAACGAAAGGGATGGATATTTTGGAAAGAACATAAATTTTAAAATATATAACATTAAGGGGATGTTTACCAGATACTTACCCGATAAGTACTTACCAGTAAAATTTAATATTATTATTTACTTATCGGATAAGATTTTAGTCAACAAAAACGGCTTTCTATGCAACAATTTACCCGGTAAGAGTTATTGTCATCACTTACCGGGTAAGACTCCCAGTCCTTGTCTCGTTCTTATCGGGTAAGATTTTTAGCCCTTACCATATTCAGTCTTTGCCGGGTAAGATTTTTGGTCCTTACCAATATATCTTTTTTTGTATCATACATTTATTGAGTAAAAAAAGATCATTATATCCATTTAATCAACAATTCCACCAATCTTAAATCATTCATTCAAAACCAAAGTTTTATCTTTTAAAGTAATCATAAAATATGGAATTATAATCAAAACCTCTTAATTTCGAATTTCAACACGACAGTTGCGAACCTGTTCACATTTGCAAAAAAGAAGACAAAACTACAGTAGGGTTTATGGATTAACAGGATCAACACAATTTGGGAGGCCGTTGATGAAGATGTCAGCAATGTGAATGATCAATTGACTATCCGATTAACAAGAATATAAATGGTGTCGGGAACTTCAAATTCACGTAATAGCCTATTTGGCCGGACTAATTGAAAAGCAAGGAGACCGTACTTGTAGTTGGATCTGTGGGGTAGGTTTTTCTGTATTTGTTGTTTTCTCTGCATTGGATGCTTTGTAAGCTTGTACCAATTGCATTCAGATTTGTACAATAAGGTAATTTATTAAAAAATAATAAATTGACCATATTACCCTTCATTTGACGGAAATAAAGTTAAAGAAGTTGGATCGAGGGACCTAATTCATAACAAAATTGAAACCACAATATGATACTATATGTAATTATTTCGGACCTAATCCGTAATTTTCAAAAACTACAGGGACTAAAACTGTAATTTACTCTTGAAAGTAAAAACATTTTTTTAAACAGTTGACCGTATGACCTCCATTTCTAGGAAGGAGTTGTGACACGATTTTCTGCACCGGAAAGTGGGAGGCAAATCGGAGACGGTGTTATACGACCAGAGACCTTGAAGTTATGCGAGTGTTGGTGACCGGTGCTTCTGGATACTTGGGTGGAAGACTCTGCCATGCGCTACTCCGTCACGGCCACTCTGTGCGGGCGTTCGTCCGTCGCACCAGCGATCTCTCCTCCCTTCCTACTCTATCCGACGGCGTTGCTCTAGAACTTGCTTACGGTGACGTTACGGACTATCCGTCACTTCTCACCGCTTGCTCTGGCTGTAATGTGATCTTTCACGCCGCTGCTCTAGTGGAACCATGGCTTCCAGATCCTTCCAAATTTATCTCTGTATGTCAAATGAGCTTTATAATTGAAGTTAATTTTCATCAGATGTTTTTTTTTGTGGATCGTTTCGATTTAATCAGATTACTACGGTTAGGTCAATGTTGGAGGTTTGAAGAACGTACTCCGAGCGTACAAGGAGATGAATACGATAGAGAAGATCATCTATACGTCGTCGTTTTTCGCTTTGGGATCCACGGATGGATATATTGCGGATGAGGGTCAAGTAATTACAGCTATTAATTTCTTTTGAAGTCACATTTTATATTAATTTATACTCCGTGCCAATCAAGAACTTTTGACTTAGAAATTCAACATATTAGATTAAAGGCATAAAGTAGACCTTTTTAATTTCTTAATTCGTAGCATTTTCTGTTGCAATGTCTTTTTTCTAATTTAATGTTATGCTTACACTGATCGTTCATGTTCCTTTGACCTATGGAGGAATGAAGAATTAAGAAGAAATCAGCTGTTAAATCTATTTATGAAGCTGATGGAGTATTTATGTGGTCAAATCTGAGTATCTTTTTATGTAATGGTCCATACAATTGTTCTTGAAATGTTAACTGCCAACCCAATATTTTTGATGTACTTCCTCTTTCAAAACACAAGACGCTACCTCTCAATGCTCTCCTTCTGATTAAGCAAGGAGGAAGTAGTTGTTAGCAAGCGTTTCTCCCTAAGATGGTCCAAATCCATACTCAGTGATCAAGATTCTTTTAAACATGACCTTAATCAAATCTGTTCTATAGGTTTTACTTCTGTATTCCACAAGTTGCAATAGTTCGTTAAATGGGAAAATATAGCAGAAGTATAAATTGGAATTAGGGGGGTCCTTTTGACTCCTAAACTTTGTGGCTAAATATGGTTGTATTTGGTGATAGATACATTCAGCCAAGTATTTCTATACCGAGTATGAGAAGTCAAAGGCTGTTGCGGATAAAATTGCTCTAGAAGCTGCCAAGGAAGGAGTACCTATAGTTGCTGTTTATCCTGGAGTCATATATGGACCTGGTAAAGTCACTGCTGGGAATGTGGTGGCCCGATTGGTAAGTTTCAAAAAACTTGCTTGCTTCTGTGCTTTATAGAGCTTGTTATTAGTTGATAACTTGATATTGTAGCATACCAATCCATTTAGTAGTATATTATCCACATCCGTCATCCAGTGTAAGTTGGTGATTTGGAGTGTATGAAGTGACCAATAACATGATCTGCGTGATTACGTTTATTCCAACTTAGTAATACATGAAATTGAAAGACTATTTAGCTCAATGACCTTCTCCTGAAGCCGATTTTGCAAAATGACCCTATGTTGTATTTCTAAGTTTTAGGACAGCATGTTGTGTTTAACCAAGGGCATGTTGTTTAGAAGTAGGGGCATACTGTTCGGAACCAGGGACAGATCAGATGAAGGTCATTTAGCTAAAAAAAATTAGGTGATGCTCTTAATGGAAAACTCACTTAAGGTCATTTACTCATTTATCAGAAGGACCCTGAAATTGAATCATAGCTGACAACCATAACTAAGATGGTAATTTGGAGCGTACGAAGTGACCGATGAGTGTGTGAAGTTAGAACACCCTTTGTTGCTAGGAATAAAGGCAGAACATACTTTAATGTTGGCCCTGACTACATCACGAATCCTTTATCGCTTGGATCAATAGAGTCCATTTTTTGTGTCTATAAATTGATGGTTATTAATTAACTTACAAAAACCCTTTATTTCTTGTTATAATCAGATTGTTGAGCGATTTAATGGACGGTTGCCTGGCTATATAGGTCATGGAAACGACAAATTCTCTTTTAGTCATGTAGACGATGTGGTAGAGGGTCACATCGCGGCTTTAGACAAAGGCCAACCAGGCGAAAGATATCTTCTTACAGGAGAAAATGCATCTTTCATGCAAATCTTTGATATGGCTGCTACTATCACCAACACAAAAAGACCTTGGCTTAACATTCCCTTGTTCGTGATCGAGGTTTATGGCTGGTTATCCGTGCTATTCTCTAGAATAACCGGAACGCTTCCAATCATCAGCCCCCCGGTATCTTATATTTTCATTTTCATCTTTTATTTTACAATTCGATGCCTGTTTAAATGTACGCATTGCTTGATTGGACAGATTATTAACCGTTTTAACTTTTATAGTATTACAAGTTGGGGGTCTTTAAAACAGGGTAGAGGAAAGGTCTGTTTACAAGGTAGATTTAGGGGTCGTTTACCTAAATGCTTACCTGGTAAGCGCTTAATAGAAACCAACACTATAATTTATTTTGATGCGTAAGATTTTAGTACATCGAAACATATCGAATGCAATAATTTACTGTGTAAGCACTTACCTAGGTAAGAGTCGTCATCCTTACTTACCGGGTAAAACTCTCCATCATTCTCATCGCTTTTACCTGGCAAGATTCTTGGCCCTTCTCATGTTCATCCGATGAGGAAATTTATTCGATAAGCACTTACCAAATAAGTGTTTAGTAAACGACCCCTTAGTAATAGCCTAGGGGTGCTCCTGCCCCTGCTCTAGCATCCCGACTCGATGGAAAAAAGGTTGGGCGTCTTAAAGGTGCACCTGCTCATGTGTGCTTCCCTCACCTAATAGATAGTGGTTACCGGCCTAGTTGTTGCATGTGCATTACAGGTTGCAAGTTCGAATCCAATTCTTTTTCTAATTTTTGGTGCCAGGAAAAAAATTGGGAAAACCACTTTTATGTCATCTTTTAGTTAAACCGTACATTTTATAATGAAATTTTGCTTTCAATTATATATTATGTTAACAACTTTGTGCTCTGTCTCGGAAATTTTTCTGGATCCATCTATGACTGCGTACTTTCTAACTCTCAACCCTATGTGCGTGGGATTTACGAGGTTTGGTTTGGTTTGGTTTGATTTGGTTTTTGCTTTATTGTACAATATTGTCGACTTCATCGTTGTTTGATTCTTTTTTACTACAACATAACATTCGTTGGCTATAAATTGAAACAGGCGGTGTATGTTTTGAAGCACGAGTGGGCTTATTCGTGCGAGAAAGCGAAAAGAGAACTGAACTACAAACCAAGAAGCTTGAGTGAAGGTCTAGAAGAGGTGCTTCCTTGGTTGAAGAACTTGGGCTTGATTAAATACTAACAACGTAAGGATGGATTTTCCTTTTGATTACTTGTATAATGGCCGGCCCAGCTCGGTCCAACCCGAACGCAGTATGTTGGATGAGAATACGCAACTAATAAGTACAAAGTTAATACAAACCAAGGAGTAGGGCCTTAAACGGACCGAACGAACACGAACGGAGATTCGTTCATGTTCGTTCGTTCGTTAACTTAACCGAACAAACACGAATGGTAAGTGAACGAAATTTTTTGTGTTCATGTTCGTTTATGTTTGTTTATATTAACGAACGGACATAAGTGAACATAATCAAACAAATGCATAAAAAATAATCACAATTACTCATCATTTTGTTTCTAGAAAATAACATAACAAAATGAAAAATGGGGTAAAATTATGAGGAATAAAAAGAAATTTAAAATTTTAGTTTAATTAATGATTTCACATATTAACATTAACGTCGTAATAATTATTATTTCGATTAAAAAATAATTTACATGAGTTTGAATTCCCAACATCACTTACATTCCTTCTAAACATGAGAGAAAAAACCTTGTTTATCATGAATGAACAGAACACATTGACATTGATATTTCTCATTTATAAATATTTATTTTGGAAAGAAAAGAAATATCAAACAAGCAGATACGACTGCCACTAAATTAGCACGATCTAGAGCTACTGCTTCAACAATCACCTGAGCTTAAGAAGTCACGTTAAGCATAGCCTTTCCCGCAGGGACATCCACAATCGAGGTAGGCCTAGCTAAGTTTGTGTATAGTTTACTGCTCCTCAATGCTATAAAAAAGATCTATGATCACACAGAGGATTAGTCGATGTACATAAACTGACCTAAAAACTCACGGTTATCAAAACAAATTTTTAATGTAAAAATAAATTGTACATTGGAATATATTATTTCTTGAAGTGATATTATATTTATCTAAGTCTTATTATTTCTTTTAATAAAGTTTTTTCCTTTTGATTGATTTTATGATATTTCATTTCTCTTGAAAAATGAAAAATCTATACTATATTATAAATCATTTGGCTAAAACCTTTAAAAACTCTTAAAAACTCTTAAAACTCTTTAAAAAAATTAAAACTCTTAAACTCATTCATCCCTAAACGATCTCATCCCTATCCGATTTCATCTCATATCTGAATTTGTGTAACTAACTGCAGATAAACACAATTAAATACATGATAAACATCTCATTTTAAATATAAAAAATCTAAAATATAATTAATATAATCATTAAATTCTAATAGAATACTTGATTATTATTTTTATAAAATTTATAATATTAAACCAAAAATAAATTGTTTTATTATTAAACTTAAATTAAATTATATATAAAAAATATATTCTATATTATAAATCATTTGACAAAAGCTCTTAAAAACCACTTTGTATGCGTAAAGTACTGTTTATTATTGCATATTACTTAAAACTCAAGATTACAAGTAAATTGTACGTATGTACAACTTATTAAAGCTCCATATCTGAATTCGTGTAACTAACTGCAGATAAACACAATCAAATACAGGATAACATCTCATTTTAATAAAAAATCTAAAATATAATTAGGATAATCATTGAGTTCTAACAGAATGCTTAATTATTATCTTTATAAAATGTTATTTTATTAAACCAAAAATAAATTATTTCATTATTAAAATTAAATTAAATTATAAAAAAAATCTATACTATA